CGGCGACAGCGACGACAGCGGCGACGTGCGGCGGCAACAGGCCTGCCGCGACGGCGGCGGATTCAGCGGCTTCGACTGACGACTGCGGCGACGGCAGCGGCCCCCACCCTTTCGGCGGCGTGTCCAAGCTCCGGGACCGGGGGACGACCGGCTGGAGTCAGGCGGCGGCTGAGGAGGAGAGGGGACGCAGGGAAAGGGGAGGGGGCGGGGCTTCAGATCTTCAGCGCGGCGCCATTGCTGGCGCAGCGCTTACTGGCGTGCGGACGGCAGGTCCGGCGGCGCCATGGACGTTGCGCGGCCGACGACGCCGCCACAGCGCGGCGTCGATGCCACGGCGGGACGTCGATGCTGCGACGGCAGCACGACGCCGTCGCAGCGTTGTGGCGTCGACAGGGCTGGCTCGGAGTGACGTGGCCGGCGGAGTGTGACGGGGCCAGCGCGGAGTGACGGGGCCAGCGCGGATTGACGGGGCCAGCGCGGATTGATGAGGCCAGCGCGGCATGACGGGGGGAAGTACGCGGCGGAAGCGTGAGGAGAAGGCCTGAGAGAATGTGGCCTGCTCTGATACCATGTTAAAACTAAGCTAGGACTAGGTAGGGGAAGGAGCCATGGATGTCGCGAGGTTTTAGGCTAGGGGGGGTGAGAGTTGGGGAGAGAAGGGAGTGAACTAGAAAAGAGAGAGGCATCCAAGGAGGGAGTTGTACCCTTTACAGTAAAATTCAATAACGACTACCAAGCCTACAATGATATACTAATATAATTTTAACAACTATCACCACGTATCGATCGAAGATGTCGTATATCCATGTTTTGTGTCCATGTTATTATAAGAGAGAGTGAATGAAGGTAGTTTCCAAAGAGTGTCATCACTGCTAAAACTGCAAGGCCGCCACTGAAATTACAGCCACGGGAGCAGGCCTGACGTTTCAAAAAAAGGCACTCTGAGCTGACCCCCCCCCAAAGAAAAATAGTCTGAATGGCCTTCAGCCAGAATTTAGGGACTCTGAAATGTCAGAGTCCAGAGATGTGCAACTCTGAAATTCTCAGGATCGCGCAAATATATTCCGGGTTACATTTTATGTTATTAAGAAGAGCTCTTTCTTGTGTATTACATTTTGCTACATTGGACAGGAGCCTACAACTACTACTACCAAGCAATCACTAGCTAACAGGCTCCTAGAACTCCGGCACATCTACAGTAATCTCATCATCACCCCCCTCATCGTCGGACAGGAAAGGGTCGTCGCCTAATGTTGGAGCCGCATCATTCTCATCATCACCCCCATCCTCCTCAGCCCACCCCTCCCCCGCGTACTCTGGCACCTCCCCCTGTCCTTCATCCGTTGTGTCCCCCGCCAACTCACCCTCTAGGGCCTTCCCCTTGCGTTTTCGTTCCGCTCTTGCGAAGACAACAGATCGTGCTGGCCGTCTCAGCTTCTCTCGCCAGGTCGCTAGGGCTTCGGTCCAATTGATGTCATACTGCAGCAGCGAGATGGCCATCAACTCGGAGAGGCGCGCGTTGCAGAGTGAGCCACGGACCCAGGACTTAATCACATTCTGCCGAGAGAAGCCCCTCTCGCATTCGACGGTTGACAAAGGCAGCACGGCGCAGGCCTGCCAGAGGCACATCAGATTGGGCCAGCGCCTGACACGGGGCACAAAAACAAAGGCGGAAGAAAGGCAGTAGGAAATGCATACAGTGAAGGCGGATAACAAAAAGATGCGGTTGGCAAGGGCGGCGATGTTGTGCACACTTGGCAAGTAGAATGGAAGGTGGTGATTCAGAAACGACAATATGGTTGGACTTGCCTGCTCGAGTCCGTCTTCGTGAGGTAGTTTGCCAGGCCTTGGTGGAAACTCTCCACCTCGTGATGATTCTGCATGATCGCCCAAGTTGCGAGCTCCCTCTCCGCTGCCTTCACGTCGAAGCCTGGCAGCTTGTGCTCGAAGATGCCGCTGCATCCAAGCAGATACTCTCTCGTCTTCTTCTCGCGCTGCGCCCGTTGTCTCGACCACTTCGCCGCCACCCAGAGCTTCGTCGGCGACATCTTGCGCAGATCCAGCATCCGCTCTTGTACGTTGGTCATGGTATCCTTGGCGTGCTTCTGGCACAGCTGCACGCAGTCCTTGTAGCTGCTCCCGTACTGGTGCTTGTCGAGGTGCCGCTCGTGCATCTTGTACGTATGGGTGACGGGGTTCCCCTCCAAGTCGATACCGCGCACCTTCACCCGCTTCGTTCCGCCGCGCCCGTACACCGTGAGGAACGCCGAGAGCCAGGTGTTTTCGGCGCCGACACCGAAAATCTCCCCGAAGTCGACATAGCGGTGCCGCAGATCCCCCAGTGTCGCGTCGATGTCCGTTGCCACCTCTGTGACATCGACCTGCGGTGTGAGGGGGGGGGGACACAGAGGAGGGAAAGACATGAGTACTTGCACCAGAGGAGAACACCATGCTTGCAAACATGAGCATCTTACCTCTCGCTTCTGAAACTTGAGGTTGAGGTCGTTCATGAGTGCCAGCATGTCGGCCAGGTAGAAGAGGCAAAACTGAAACTTATACGAAATCACAACCTCATACAGGGGATGCTCATACTCATACAGCAGAACAATCGCAGCACCCAACACTTTACACAGGCGTCGGATTGCCTCTCCCCTGGACAACCATCGAACTTGATGGATGCCTTGAACCTCAAGGTTGGTGCTGTGAATCGCCCGCTGCAGATGCTTGAAACGACTGCTCCATACGCTCGACCGGCCGAGAAGGTCCGCAAGGGTGCGAGTGACTTTGTCGACCATGTCGAGGTCTGGACATGAAGCGGCAGCATCCTTCACAGCAAGTGCTTCTCTGCATGTACCGACATGGGTAGTGGTTAGCACACAGAAACATAAAAAGCATAAACAGACAGCAAGGAATACTTTAACAAACCTGTGGGCGATGCAGTGGGAGGAAAAAAGGTGCGGGATGATGTCTCGCAGTCGCGCCACAAGCCCGTTGTCTCGGCCGACCATCACCGACGCGCCGTCTGTGCTGATGCCAACGATGCGTTGAAGGTCGATGCCGGACGACTCCAGGTGGGCTAAGAGAGTGGCCATAAGAGAAGCGGCGTCGCACTTGTCAACGTTTAGCAGGGCTAGGAATTCGGTGACGACTCGACGCAGCCGCATGAATGTGATGTAGACGATCAAGTGCTTTCCCCGAGTGCGGTCGGTGCTTTCGTCGCATGAGATGCCGAGGTAAGGTGAGCTCTTGATATGCTCCATCTGAGTAGCCAGCAGATGCGTAGAGAGACAGTTGACCATCTGCTGGAACCCGTACCTGCAGTGGCATAATCAGAAGTGAGACATTGGTTAATTAGCATTGGAAATGCATTGAAATTTACAAGGTTCATATCAACATCCAACCATCAACCGGCGAAAGCCAGGTAGCCTTACCTGGTGAGATACACTCCGTACGACTGGAGAGGTATGTCTGGTGTGTCTTGCTCTGCCATGAAACGAAGCAGCCGGGGAAACATGGCGATAGGAGCGTCGTTCTTGCAAAGAAATTCCACGCACCGCAAAAGACGGATGACGCGGCGGCCTTCGACATCGACGGTGGCGAAGCTTGTCATCTTCTGCTGCTTGTCTTCAATTTCCTTTTGAATCTCGAGCTGCCGGCGAACTGCCGCTTCGTGGACTGTCGAGTGTTCATGAATGCGCATCGTCTGTGTCTGGAGATCTCGCCCGCCGTCGCCTGGCCTTGAATACTTCGTCGTTTCTTTACCGAAGGCTCGGCAAACGCTGCACTTAAGAGCGGGGTAGCCATCTTTAGTACGGGTAAGTACAAGCCATGGGAAATAACGCAGCCAATCATTCTTATACTTAGCCTCCGCGACTAGGTACTTCTGCTCGATCAATTCCTCTGTACTTAGCCTCGGTGGCGGCGGTTCATCAGGGCGGGTGACGGGGGTAGGTGAGCGCGGTGGTGAGGGAGGGCGAATCTGGCCACCATGGTTGATACGCTGCTGTGTATACTTCGTCGTACGTTGTTTCTTCGCCAAAGAGACAGTCGATGCGCAGGGCACACTATAACGAATGGTAGAGGCAGTGGCGCAGTCAATAGGATCCACTGGTCTTCTGCTAGAAGATGCTATGGCTGGTGGGAGAATGAAGGGAGCGGGGGCAGGTCTACTAGGCAACGATGGCTCATCGCGTGGGGTCTCGTTTACAACGGTTGTGGCGACAAAAGGCGGAGGAGCCGATGCGGCAACGGGCCGCAAGACGTCTAGGGCGCTCCTTGGCGCAACGACAGGAACCTTACTGCTGCGCGGCTCATCACCGTCAGCTGGAGCATCGTCGTCGCCATCCTTTTCAGGCATGGCGAGAGGAGAAACGACGTGTAGGAAATGAAGACAGTGACTACAACTACGCCTGTGTCGAAATGAACAACATGGAGGATTTCCCCTCTAAAACCTGAAGCAGTGCGTTCGAAGCTGGTGGGTAAGGAACAACTGGAGAAGAAGGGGTCCATCAAACCCGTGTCGCACCTTTCTTGAAAGGCGTGACGCGGTTTCGGGACTTGTCCATGCACAACACAGCGCCATGCTGCCTAGTCGATGTGTTGGCTGCAACTGCAGCCAATGGGGATGATGGCCAACCTCTGCAAGGCTGGCACAGAGGGCACGGGCCCGAGGTTCGCGCATGCACAGAGAGCAACAGAGCAGAATCTGTGGTCCTTAGTGGCTCGGCATGGCAGCATTTTTGCTGCGCTGGGTAGCAGAGTGCCCACTGTGGGCAGAGTATTCATTCGACTTGGCGGATTTTTCAAGGAAGTGTGGATTCTCCACGTGACGCGGGCGGGAATCACTGATGGCATGCGAAATTTCTAGAGATATTGCGTGCCCCGTGGAAATCTGTTTCAGGGTTCGTACCCGATGTACTCTGAAAACTCAGTATTGGGTTAGCGTGAACTCTGATTTTTTCAGGATCCCTAAAGTCTAAGTCTGAATCGATCAGGATTGGGAAAATGCCTTATCTGGAAATTCAGGTTTAGCCAAAAAACCGGTCTGAGATTTCAGACTAATCAGAGTAAATAGTCTGATAAAGTCAGCCCTGCACGGGAGTTCTCCCTCTACATGCTACTCCTACACACTCCCTTCAGAAGGATGCTGAAGAGGAAGCGAACAAGGAAAAAGGGTCAAAGAGAAGGCAGCAAGCTTGAGGCGCCTCAGAGTCTGGAGATGATGACTATAACGAGGGGAAGCCGGGCAGCTGGTAGGGCAGGCATGGTCAGAACATGCATCCCTGGGGTCACATAAAAAAAGACTCCCAAGGGATGACTGGATGACTGCTGATACTGGTAGCAGCGCATTTCCACATGTTCTGCCAAGCCTGCCCACCCCAGCCACATCATATACAGGCCTCCCCCCTTTCCGACGCCTGAGGCGATTCAAGCTCGCCCTATTCGCGAAACCGTTGCACAGAATTCTCGCCAACGATCGTTAGCAGGGAACCGGCCGTCAGGGCTTCACCGTGCGCGTGGAGTAGCCACTGGTTCAGTGAGCCTTTACCGCACGGAAAGCACGGGCCGCTGGTATCCAATAATGTCCACGCGTCCATCCTTGGGTGCGACCTCGCGGTGGTCGCGGCGGCAAGCAGCGCTGCTGGCAGCGTCACGCGCGCCGCGCGGGCTCCGCGGAGCCTCTTCTCCCGGGCGAACCTTCTGCACCGTCTCCCTTTCCTCTCCCTGCTTCTGCGACCGTTCGCGCCGCCAGTAGCGGCTTCCGCGGAGGCTGCGGACGACGCTGCGCGGGCTTGCGGGCTGCGCGGGGTGCAGGGGGAGGCCGAGGGGGAGCGCAAACCAGGGGTGCGCCAAGACCTCGTCCGCGGTCGGGCGCATGTGCGGGAGCGGCGACACCATCCAGCGGATCAAATCCTTCGCCACCTCCGAAACCTTTCGCCAGCATGGTAACTCCCAGTCGACCGTGTCGTCGAGGCATCGCGAGCGGTGGAACGCGGGCCACGTGCCCGAGAGCATCGCGTAGAGCGTCACGCCGAGGCTGAAAATATCCGCGGATTGGTCGTACGTCTTATTCGCGAGAACCTCGGGCGCCTCGTACGGAAAGCTCCCCGCGTACCCCACCACGCGCTGCCCCGGCCGCAGCGCGAGCGACAGGCCGAAGTCCGCGAGCTTCGCGGAGGCTCCGCTGGCGGAAGCGGAGGCGGAGGCGGAGGCGGAGGTGGCGGAGGGGGAAGCGGGCGGGGAGACGGAGCGGGAGCGCGCGCGGAGCGGGTTGAGCTGAAGGGCGTTGAACGGGTTCTTGGAAGGGGTGATGGGGCTGGTGGCGCCGGCACTGGCGGCGGCGGATGCGGCGGTGGTGTCGGGAACGAGGAGAATATTTTCGGGCTTGATATCACGGTGGATGACGCCGCTGTCGTGGCACTGCTTCACGCCACGTGTCACCTCGAGGAACAGCCTGCGGGACTCCGTTTCGGGCAGAAAGCCCTTTTTCTGTATCAGGTTCAATAAATCGCCGCCATTGCAATACTCCATAACCACATAAACCGACTCCTCGTCCTCGTAAATCCCTTGCAGCGACACGACGTTGCGATGACCCGAAAGCGTCGCCATGACTTCGATCTCGCGAACCGCGGCTTTAATCCCCTTTTCGCCGAGCCCCGCGAGGTTGATGTGCTTGCACGCGAAGAGGCGGCCCGAGTGGCGCTCCTCGCAGAGCCACACCGTGCCGTACTGGCCCTCGCCCAGCATGTCGATTATCTCGTACCGCGCGGATAGCTCGCGCGCCGGGAGCACCTCAATGCTGTCCCACTCGCGATCCATGGCGACTATGTGAGTGAGAGAGAGAGCGAGAGAGCGAGCGTCTATTAGTCGCACACTATCTGTCTGTCGTCTGTGCGATGGGCGTGTGACTGGGGAGTTGAGAGCGAAGTGGGGGGATGGGTGATGACGCGTGGATACTGATGGTATCGATCGACTCGAAAGCTTCGAATGAGAACTCTCCCTTCCGCTAGTGAACTCTTTAGCCAAGGCGGGTGTGCGTTTCTCAAGTGGAGTGACACAGAAACGGGACAACCAGCCTATTAGTAGCGGCTCCAAAGAAGTGCGCTATCGGATGGTGTCAGGGGGGTAACGGTGCGGATGGTGGGTGGAGTGGTGGGTGTACAGTGGTGGGTGGGCAGTGGGCATTGACGCCTCATTGCAGCGTTTGTATTTTAGCCAGCTAGTGCGTTTGAAATTGAACGGAGCGCGAGAAAAGCGGGGAGGGGCCCTGCGCCGTGGCATGGCCCTGCGCCCTGCGAGAGTCGCTCGTTGCTTGGCCTGGGGAAGCGGCAGCGGAAAACACAAGACGGAATGGTGCAAGAAATTGAGCGCAGGAGCGAAGGCTGTGTGGTGTGGGTGGGTGGGAGAGGGAAACGTTGGTCGGTGGTGCAGTGCAGTCGTTGAACAGAAGAAAGGGGGAAGGGGGGGGGGGGGGGGGGGGGGGGTGCGGGGGAGGGGTGTGGGGTGTTGCTTGCGTGTCGCAGTCGTTGAAATGCGTTTTGCTGCAGCCTGCCTGCTTGATGCTCGCTGGTGGGTTTCCTTGCTCCTGCTGGTGCAATTCCTGGGTCAGAGTGGGGGGAGGGGGAGTTGGGGGGGGGGACTTGGGGAGGGAGGCGCGCTTGCAGGTTTGCGGCCAGATTTGAACGTGTGCTCCGAGGGGGAGTGCAGCGGTTGGGGGAGAATGGGTTCGGGGAGAGGGGGGCAGCGGGGACGCAGGGGAGGTGGTTGGGGGGAGGTGATGGTTCTGGTCGGTGGTGTGGCGACGTTCCGCCGACTGCCGATGCACGTTTCGGCTTGGATGAATCGACGGTCGCAGATGCGACGGCGACGAGTCACGAGTCACAGGACATCCGAGCCGCATGGTGAGTGCACGCGTGCAAGAAGCCCAACCAATCCGCCATGCGGGCCGGGCAGCCAGCCAGGCCTGGCTGGAGCTGAGTCAGTGCTGCACCCAACCACGAGGAAAACAAAACGAAGCTTCGGTTGGGCGCGAATTGCGATGGATGGAGGTGCTGATGGCACGGTGCGTGCAGCGACACGCCATTGGCTCGCCGTCGTGTGTATTTTGACCTCAGTCAACCCCCCACCTGGACACAACCCCGTCGCCTGTTTTCGTTGTGCTGACTCCATCAACGCCTGTTCCTCTCTCAAGTCTCGAGCAGGGCACTGGCTTACAGGGCAATTACCCTTAATGTCTCGAGATTATGAGTTGTTTCCGACCTGATCCCGTTTTTTTGCATAGTAAAAGGTTTTGGTTCCGTCTGCCTAACGGAATACATTTCGTGTGATTCCTTGACATTGCGGGTTGCTTTCCTTTGATTCCATACGAAGTGCAATTGTAGTAGGAGATCTGTTCGTAATGGTCTATCACCCCTTCCCACCCTCCTCTCTACCTTTCCCAACTTCCTCCACTAAATAAAGCGCGAGGTTAGTTGCCGGCAGTTTTTCTACTCTTCCAACTGTATGCGCAAGAAACAGTCCCTGGGATTTCGATGGCCTTCCTTAGCGTATCGAAGGCCATTTGCCGTCAAGGATTTAGTATCAAACCAAGAGTGGCTCTTTGACGAATCCGTATGTTAACGAATCCTTAGCGTGTCGAAGGCCATTTCGGCGATTCCGTCCGCTAACAGGTATTTTCTGGGCCGATTCCGTGACCTGACCGAAAACCCTAGGCTTAGCGAGAGCCCTGGTCTCGAGTTCCTTCCACCAGTGATGTGCAGCAAGGGCACTTTCTGTTTAGTTTAGGTGGCACTATGGCAGTGGCCGGTCGCCTCGCCTTGCCTCGCCCTGCCACCTAAAAAATAATGAAATGAAACGAATCCTCAGCAAGACGACAAGTTAACAGGTGGCAACAGTGACCCACTGGCCCAGAGTGAACCAGCACAACGGTGACATTCGGCGACACCAATTTTCGATACAGGTGTACTCCAAGACACCATTCGTACAAGTGCACCTCATGTGGCAGAAGCAGCAGTATATAATCTATGGAGTTCGACTATATTATTCGAATAATTACATCGAGAGACTATAATAGTAACATATAGTGGACATGAGTGTTGCGCCATACATATACAGCTATCATGCTGTATCATGGATTTGTGTAAGAGCGCTAAATGGCGCCACCGCTGGGAGCAGAACACAGCATCTCAGCAGAGTCGTGTCTGGCTCCAGTCCAGCAAGCCCTTTCTCCATCCGTTACGACCAACCAGCACATCTCATCAGATCACATCCAAACGGGTCGTACCGTAATAAACCTCGAGATCCGCAGCCGTGATCCAAGGATCTGCGGCCCTGCTGCTCACACTGACATGCACGGAATGAACATCCCTCGTTGCAGCTGCCCGCGAATGCTGCCCAGAAACTTAAACGGCGTCACTTGCACGTAATAATTCGCGGGGTTTATATCCAGCTGCTTCATCACATTCGACACCGTCTGCCCGTTGCTCGCCTTGGCCGAGTCCGCCTGCTTGATCCACCCCACCGACTTGTACGTGATACCATCGGCGCGCAGCGCGACCGTGGGCACGCCGGGAATGGTCAGAATGGCGTCGCCGGTGGCTCCCCCGGGGCCGTAGTTTAGGGTTTTGAAGAGCGGGAAGTAGAGGTCGTTGGATGTGAGCTCGAACTTGATGTCGGTGCCCTTGGTACTCCTGGAGGGGGGCAGAGGGAGGAAAGGAGATGGTAACGTAAGATAACTTGTTCAATGTGATCGTTCGATCCGAGCTCGAACTTGATGTGCGTGCCCGTGGTGGTCTTGGATGGGGGCAGAGGGAGGTGTGGTGTTACATCGCATGTGCGCGCATGTGTGTTTCACACAAATTTGAAACTCCCGTCAATGTGTGGGGGGGTTACAAGGGAGGCGGAGACCCTCGGGTAAGAGGGGTGCTTACGAGTACACGGTGATTTTCAATGTGCCGTCCGCCATTTGCGTTGTGTCGGCCTTCTTCTTGTCGCCTCGCATCGACGCCTGGATAACACCTGCGCAAGTCGATCGAGCCAAGACACGCATCACAGGCAAGCAGAAAAGCAGGCAATAGAATCAGAGGAGAATTTTCGAAGACATCAGAATGAAAAGCGGGGTTTTGTACGGACTGTAGGGCTCGGCTTGGAGGAAATGATTGTCGCAGCACTTACTGACGACGGGGTTGCTGAAAATCGCAGGGCATCGCACGAGCCACGAGTGCGACAATGGGATCGTGGCTGACAGTAGGAATAGAACCACTAGCGAACCTGCGGCGTCGAGTGTGGGGGGAGGAAGGGAGGAGGGGAAGGGTTGGGGAGGGAGGGGGGTTTGGGTATGGTGTCGTGCGTCGAAGAATAGTCCTATCGGGGTTTAGTGTAGTCTGCAGGATCACCTGCAGGATCGCTGAAACCAGCGGAAAAAGAGACAAGGGGTCGGAAAACGAACCTATGCGACAGTCCATGGGAACAAAGGAGGCACGTAACGCCTCGGCGTGACTGTTGCGATGGAATCGTCTAGCCTGGATACTCAGAGCCGACGGATTGTATTCCTTCTACCAATCGAGACTCACACTTGTGGACGACTAATCGAAGGGACACAGAGGAGGTATGAATAATGCTGTTTGAAAACTTCTGGATTTGAGGTGGGCTAGAGGTACTGAGATAAGGCATCTCATTTTGAGCCTTGTGAGGTGCTGCAGCCATCATGCCAATACAGACCGACAATTCTTTGATAAAAGTGAATTTCAACGGATCGCGCATTTGGTGTGGGAGGGCCCAGAGGCGGGACATCACGAGCCGCGCATCCATTTCGCCACGTAGCCCTTCAGAAAATAGTTGCGAGGCAGGCGAAACTGTGAGTGCGAAAGCTGACAACTGTGCATGTCGTGTGGTGGTCGCCGACAGCACCTGTAGCCCAGCGCAGATAGAAACGAATTCACTGGATCGTCGCACAAGGGCTGTGCGAGAGCGAAGGTTGGCGACCTCATATAGCGCACGACGAGATTATTTCAGCACAAGGGACAGACATTTCTGACAAGAGCCTGCAATCGGGGCTGTAGCCTACAACATGAATCATAACTGTCAACTTATACATATTTTGTTATGTAGAAGTTATAGGCTAGATAGGGTATGTTTTTAGTGGGTATAACACAAACGCTATATCTCCCCTGTTCTCCCTTCTAATCATTCTAGTTGGGCTGAGAAAAGCCCTTAGGATCTTTCCAGAGACTAAGTCCCAGTTGTAAGAAATGCTTTAGTAGTGCAGCGGAAGCTGAAGTAGTTGAACCCTTGCACTAGTATGTGAGAGCAAGTAATTGATTAAAGAGACAAGCATACAGCAATATATAGAAAGTAGGAAAGTAAAGCAGTTGTAGAATAAAGTTGAGAGAGCGGTTTATCGAGTCGCACAGCGACTCGATTGTCGGTTCTGTTACCATCCTTGCAGTTGTAACAGTCAGTCGCAACCTCCGGTTGCGACCCTTCCAGTCCTTTCGTGTTCTTTGTCCATCCCCTCGTGTAACCTCTGTTGACTCGCGTACCCATTACGACTTTCCTCGAGTGTAGTGTTATATTTCAGAAACGCTTAAGTCCTTGAGGTATTTCCAACAATTCTTTCTAGTCTTAACACGTAGATGCGCATTGCTGTTCATTTTTTCCACTCCTGCTGCTGGGGCAATCGTATGTACGTCAAAGCGAGTGGGGAAAATGAGCTAGTGGCCATTGTGAGGCGGGTATTTAGAGCGTGTTCCTGCGAGCCTTTGATGTAACTTATGTAGTTACTGTGGACTATACTGAATTGTGCCTTACAGGGTACAACCCCTATGTCTATATATCCTTAGATCCTTTTATTCTACTCAACTACTCATCTTGACATGGTATCATAGTAGGTTCGCCCCCCCCCTAGCCCGCCCACGCTTCCGTCCTAGGCCCTAGCCGCCGTTACGCCCACCCCTAGCCATCGCTCCCGTCCCTAGCTGCCGTCTCGCTCGTTACCCGCCGCCGTCGCGGCAATTCCTAGTCGCTGTAGCGACCGTTCCTAGCCGTTGCGGCTGTCCCTGGTCGTCTCGCGGCCGTCCCTAGCAGCCGTCGCGGCCGTCCCTAGCCGCCGTCTCGCGGCCGTTCCTAGCCGTCGCGAACGTTCCTAGCCGCTGTCGTGGTCGTTCCTAGCCGTCGCGACTGTTCCTAGCCGCCGTCACGGTCTTTCCTAGCTGTCGCGACCGTTCCTAGCCACCGTCGCGGCCGTTCCTAGCCGTCGCGAACGCTCCTAGCCGCCGTCGCGGTCGTTCCTAGCCATTCTTGTGGCCGTTCCTAGCCGTCACGGTCGTCCTTAGTTGCCGTCGCGGCCATTCCTAGCTGTCGCGGCCGTTCCCAGCAGCCGTCGCGATCGTCCTCCCTGGCCCCCTGCGCCGTTGCGTACGTCCCTAGCCGGCCCCGTGTGCCGTCACGCCCGTACTAGCCGGCCCTGCTCGCCGTCGCGCCTGCCCCTAGCCAGCCCTTTCTCGCCGCCGCGCCCGTCCTGGCCGGCTCCTCGTGCCGCCGTGCGCGCTCCTAGCCGGCCCCCCCTTCGTGCCCGCTCCTTACCGACCCCTCGTGCCCGCCCCTCGTCGGCCCCGTGCCCGCCCCTTGCCGGCCCCGCGCGTCCGCTGCCTGCCGGCCCCTCGCGTCCGCCGTCCGCCGGCCGGCCCCTAGCGTCCGCCGTCGTCGCCGGCCCCGCATTCGCTTCGTCGCCGGCCCGCCGCCGACTCGTGCCCGGCCCGTTCTTCCCGACCAGCACCGCCCTACAACCTCCCTAGTACCGCACAGCACCGCTTTGCACCGCACTGTACCACTCTGCACCGCACTGCACCGCGCTACACTGCACTGCACCGCACTACACCACGCTGTGTCGCACTGCACCGCACTGCACCGGCACCGGACTGCACCGCAGTGCATCGCTCTACAGCACCCTGCATCGTTCCTGATGGCGGAGGTGCTTTGTTTTGATGCTGAGGGCCAGCCGATTGAGTTTGAGGCGTGGCTGGCCGACCTCCGCCGCCACCTCACTGGTCAGCGGCAGGATGGCCACTCGCTGTCTGTCCATCTTGACGGTACGCTCCCCTGTCCTGACCCCCCTACTGCGCTGCCCGCTGACCCCTCGTCTGCTGAGCGTGAGTCCGCTGCGGCCGCTGCCCTTGCTCGCTCCGTCTGGCTGTCTTGTGATGCTGTCGCACAGCTTGCTATCAGCCATGCCCTAACCCTGTCTGAGCGCCCACGCTTTAGGTCTGTCACCATTGCCCAGGCTTTCCTAGATGCTGTTGTCCAGCGCTATTCCACCCCGCCTGCTGCCTCGGTAGGTCGTCTAATCCTCCCCATGCTCTTCCCTGACCTTGCGTCGTTTCCCACTGTCGCTGATCTGGCCGCCCACCTGCGCACTATAGACGAGACCTGGCGCGCTGCCTGCACTGACACACAGCTTCGCGCTCACCAGCCGCCCCTCTGCTCTGCTCTCTACCTGCTGGCCACCCGCCTCCCTGACCGCCTTGCCACCACCCGAGACCACTTCCTTAGTGTCCACCCCGGAGACCTCACCCTCACTGACTTTGTTGACACCCTGTCCGCCATAGAGGCCCGCCACCGCTCTATCGCCCAGACCAGCGGTACTGTGCCGGTCCCTATCTTTCAGGGTTGTGCCCTCGCTCAGTGCACCTTCTCCGACGGTTCTGCTGCTGTGGCTGAGACAGCCGCTGCAGCACATGTCCATTCGGAGAAGGGTCGCCGCCCTAAGGCTGGGCGCGGCGGAGGGGGTGGGGGTTCCGGTGTAGGTGGTGGTGGAGTAGGGTTCCCTGGTGGTGGCGCGGACGAGGGGACCCTGACAGGTGCAGCCAAGCAGCCGTCTCAGCAGCCGCAGGTGTTGCAGCTGGACACGCGACAGTCGCTGCAGCAGTCCTAGCACCAGCCGCAGCCGCCGCAGCAACCGCAGCAGCCGAGGCGGGCGATTGGTCTCCCGCCTGGGTGGCCTGGTGCTGATGGTGGTGCTGGACGTGGTGGTCGTGCACGTGGCGGGCTGCCGGATGGTGGTTCGGGTGACGCGCGTTATCAGTACCAGCTCCAGACCGGTCCTCGCCGTGGCTTCGTTTGCGGTAAGACCGGTCACACCTCCATCCGCTGTTTCCGTCGCCTGGACGACCTGTTTCGTCAGCGCTTCGGCCCGTTGCCCGAGCTCCCAGACTGGCACAACTTGCTTCGTCGTAGCGTCCCGATCTTTGATATGGACATGGATGAGATTGTTACTGCCTTGCATGTGAAGTATGCTGATGACTCTAGTCTGCTTCCTTCTTATTACCCCTTGTTGCCTAGTGTAGGTGTGCCTAGCTTAGACTCCCCTGCTGCGTCAGGCGTAGGATCACCTGCTTTGTTTAGCCTTGGTGCTTCCGTCGCTGCTTCGACTCCGGCCGCCAGTGCCACGCTTTCATTCACATTGGACTCTGGCGCTAACCGATGTTTCTTCCGCGACTCCACCACGCTGACACCGCTTCCTGTTCCTGCAGCAGTTTCTCTTGCTGACCCCTCCTCTGGCCCTGTAGTCGCCCGCAGTTCCACCACCCTTCCCTGTCCGGCGGTTCCTTCTGGCTCTCTCACAGGTCTGCACATCCCCTCGTTCTCCACGAACCTAGTTGGTGTCGGCTACCTCCAGGACCTTGGCGTCACCACTACGTTCCCTGGTCATGAGCGGTACGCTATCTGTACCGAGGCCGCCACTGATGCCCCCCTTACCACGCTCCCACAAGACCCGGTGTCCGGCCTTTTCACACAGGACACAGTGACTTCCCCGGTTGAGACGCCCCCTCAGGTGGCTGCGTCTAGTCTGGTCGCCGCTGCCTCCTCCTGTCGGTCACTCACTCACCCGACACTCCTTTGGCACTACCGCCTAGGTCACCCTGCGCTCCCGCGTCTGCGTCACATGTCACAGCACGGTCTCGTCGTAGGCCTCCCCGGGTCGTTCCCCGAGTTTCCCTCTTCCCCAGTCCCACCTTGCACGCCCTGTGTCGAGGGCCGACTCCACCGTGCTCCTCACTCCTCCTCGTTTCCCCCTACTGCCGCACCGCAACAGACTCTGCACATGGACGTCTGGGGCCCCGCCCCCGTCCATGGGCCGCGTCGAGAGCGTTACTTCCTAGTGCTTGTCGACGACTACACGCGCTACACCACTGTGTTCCCCCTGGAGCGGAAGGCTGACGTGCCTGGTGTTCTCATCCCGTGGCTTGTCTCTGCGCGTGTCCACCGCGGTCTCGCTGTCTTGCGTCTCTACTCCGACCGTGGTGGCGAGTTTGCCTCTGGTGTCCTTGGTCGTTTCTGTCCTGCGGAGGGCATCACCCACACGTTCACCTTGCCGGACTCCCCGCAGCAGAATGGGGTCGCTGAGCGACGCATCAGTTTGGTCATGGAGGTGGCTCGTACCTCCATGATCCATGCCGGTGCCCCCTATTTTCTGTGGCGGTTTGCTGTTCGCTACGGCGCTCACCAGCTTAACCTCTGGCCGCACCCTCAGCAGCCGCAGGTTTCGCAGACCATTCTTTGGTCTGGGTCCCCTTGTGACGCATCTACGTTTCACGTCTGGGGCTGCCTGGCTCACGTTCATGCCTCTCGCGCAGACAAGCTCACTTC